ATTTTTAACAGTAGACTGGACTTAACCTATAAATCAAGTCTTTAATAGACTAACAGACCAAATAGACTTAATATATTTTTATTTAGGCCTAGGCCTTGAAGATCAAAGCCTGGTCTAACCTGACCCATTTATATCCCTAATTGCGAGTTGCCAAGATCATGAGTAAGAAACATTATGTTCTATTCAAAAAAAGAAACCAGCGAACTCTTTTTTTCTCTCTCTCTTTTTTTTTTAGTAAAACCAAATTAATATGCTTCGAGCATTGTTGGATTCCCATTAGGGTGCGGCTCTTCTAATAATATTTTTACCATTCACTTGGCTTGAATTCAAATTCGAGTTCCCTCCAAACAAATTTTTTGTTACTTGAATCATGATTGTTGATATCTCTTTTTCTTTAACCATGTTCTCGTTGAATATGAAATCCGATAACCTACGAGAGAAAATTAATAAAGGAACAAAACAAGATCAATTTACATTGTGTACATGTTACACCTAATCTTACTCGTTTTTATCTATACGGCATGTTTGATGTAATGTATAAGGCTTGATAGTATAAGCTTATACTTTACGTAATGACATTTTCAGTTGTTTGGTGTGACTATCGTATAGTATAAGCTTATACAACATAACCTCTTAATACATCAAAATGATGTATAACTTAATCAGGCCTAAGGGGATGAGATTAGGCCTGATAAGGGGTTGATGTATTAATATTGCTTACAAATACAATTCTCAAGAACTAATATATCATTTCAATATTAATATATTAAAATAATTTTTTTAATATATTAATTTTTAAAATATTGGAGGATATTATCTTATACAATACCATACCAAACGCTGGATAATATTAAAATTTAATTAGATTTTATACTATCAGACCTTATCCTATAGTATGCACCAAACATGCCCTTAATGACTCTAATTTATTAATGATATGAATAGTTAGATGCATGTTGATCAGTGCAATACAATATGGGCTGACCAATATGTTCTAGGCCAGATCACACACGGTTGATGAGTAAAGGCTTATGCTTCGTGGGCTTGCTGATGTCTGCTTATTAATTGATGCTAAGCTCCTTTGGTGCGATGGCTCTGGCTGGGGGTACCTGCAATGACACTCTGACGCTCAAGTCAGTATCAAAGCTAGACTTATGTTATATTCTTAGTGGAATTAGATGATCACACCTGGGTGTGTACCCTTTGTTTATATAGTAAGTCTGATGCCGCCTTTGGTAGGCAGTATGTCCTCTGATTGACCATTTAAGGGCTGCAGGCTTATTTGTTCTCAACTGGTACCTTTTTAGCTATACCTCTATATGTCAGGCTGCCATCTTAAAGTGGTGGCAAACTGAAACTGTCTTTAGTGTATTTGGCTTATGGCGTGGTGGATCTTTGTCTGTTATAGAATCATTCCTTAACTTTTAAGTCATATAAGGCGGTTTAGGCGCAATGAAGACATTGTTCCTTCATGTTTTTATGCGCGATGGAGACATTGCACATTTCTTTGGGCCTGTATACTTCTGGGCCTATTCTGAGCTTTCACACTTTGTGGGCCTATTGTATTTTATCCAGATCACATGTGAAATTATTTAATTAAAAAAATTATAAAAAAATAACGCATATATAATAATTAAAAAATCACGTGTGTTTAATTTTCTAAATTTTGAATATATAAAAATTTAATCATATTATTATTAAAAAATTAATTTTATTGTGCCTCGAGTTAACAAATTATAGGAAACAGATTAGAATAAGGGTTCGTTTTTTCTAAAGTTACTTTAGACAACTTTATCTAATGTTCGTCGAAATGACGTCGTTTTGGGACGGAAATCATGGCGTATTTGTAATTTTAATTTATTTCAGGGTTATAATAGTCTTTATCATTCTAATTTTTTGAATTTTCGACCTCAAAACGACGTCGTTTCGGCGAACATTAGACAAAATTATCTAAAGTAACATTAGATACTTTTTTCCCTTAGAATAATAGCTACATGGAAACATACACTTTTTCTATTTCTTATATCAAAACTTCAGGTTTTCTTAACCTATTTAACATTGTAATAAAATTTTGCTAGAACAAGCTACAGATTTTATTAATCAACATGCACAATAAATCGTTTTCAGCCCAAAAAGCCATGTTCAACGAATAATGTGAAAAAAATGACCTTTAAGTTGGGTCTTCAACAAATAAATGCCTTAACTTTCAGTTTTAACAATTAACAGTTCAATTAAATTTTGAAACATATTTAACAGCTAGTTTTAGTTTTTTATTAGCCAGTTCATATTCAGTCTACTATGAATTTTAACTTTCAACGCATATTAAAAATTGCCCTTAGGACATTACCCAAAAAAATGCACTTAGGAATTAATTCTTTAATAGAAATTAATTATTCATATAAATACACACACATAATTTTAAAATTAAATTTTCAAGAGCTTTATCATACAAATTAAAAATTTGTAGAAGAAAAGTTACTCTTTTTCCCCTAAAATATGTGTTATATAGGAGGATACTTCTCAAAATTAACGACTTTATTAGAAGCTATTATAAGTATATATATGGAGATCAACTCAATTAATCTAAAGCCCTTTTTCTACTATGGTAGAGAGAGAAAGAAAAAACTAACCTCCCAAGAACACCACTAGAGAATTATTAGTAGTAAACTAACTGGTAGAAAACAAGGGACGACTAATGAAGAACCATCAATTCCTTAGTAGCAACAACACCATGTATTAGTTATAAATTTTGTACAGTACGTTGTTAATTAGTTAAAAAAAAAAATTTATGCTTACTGTCCGAAATCTTGAGCTCATTTTCTGTTGTCTTGAAATACATACTTCTTATCCAAAAATGAAAAAAATGTGGGATGAGTGAAAATAAATATAAAGACAAGGGTAATGTAATAGCGTTACTTTTTACTATATTTGGTAAAAGGAATACCGAGTACTCTGCAGTTCTGGAGTACCGAAAATATTTTCCGAAATCCTTAAGGGTATAGCTCAACCGGCAAAGTTGAGCGTCCAGGGTTGCTTGGTCCAGGGTTCGATCCTTGACCCAAGCAATTTTGAAATTCTTTGGAGGCTAGAGAGAAAAAGCTCTCTCTCGATGAGAGATTAGTCTTATCCTTCCTCTGGTGACATAATCTAATATACCTGATATTTCTGGTGACATAGTCCAATATACCTGATATTTCAATGAGGAGATAGCCTTTAGGGCCGAAAGTGGCTGGATGAAGTTGAATGAAGATACCTCTAAGTTATAAAAAAAAAAAAAAAAACACATATGAAGATGAAAAATAAAAATGAAGAGAATTATTTCTCTTTAAACTCTCCTATTATTGTTCTTTTATAACTTGGGACTAAAGTATAGAAATAACTTTATTTTATTTAAATAATTATTTATTATTTTATGCCATAAAATTAAATACGTAAAAATATAAAGAATTCTGTTAGAAATTCACACTTAAAATTTGTAATTTTTGCTATGAAGAAAATAAGTCTTCGAAGTTCAAAGATTGATTGGGATCTCTGTAATCTCTCCTCCCTGTCAACAGGGTTAAAAAGAAAAGCAAAGAAAACTTTTGCCATCTGTTTTCTTTCTGTGTTTATGGAGGTTAATAATAGCACTTGCTTTACAAGCCTAAAGAAAGCAAACCAAAAAGGTCACATTGAAGGGAAAACTTGAGGAAAATTGATAAACCATAATTAAATAATTAACCAAAAAAATAGTAATTAATCATTCTTCTTCCTTTATTCCACATTATACAAAAATTGATGCATCTAGTTTTTGAAGGTATATGCATGTATACTAAAGGAAAGATCATAGAGTAAAAACATATTAGTCATGGTAATAAATTCTGTTTACAAAATCATTTTTACATATCTTAAGAAAATTTTTTAAGGTAACGTTTTGTTTTTTCGTTTTACTTAAAGTCAGATTTGTTAAGACAGTTATATTTTTTCTTTTAGTTATTCTACTGCCCACTAATTAAGTACCACTTTCATAATACTCTTAGAAAGAACTATTTTTTTAACTTTGATACCGAAAGTGCTATCATTTTGCTTCTCTCTTTTTTTTTTCTTTTTTTTTTTGAAGAAGTCATTTTGCTTCTCTTTCACACACACACATTTTTTTTTTAGTACATACATATTTAGAACTTAATTAGTAAATATAATTAATAAATATTCATAAAAGTAAAAGGAGATTTGTTAACATGACACCGGTTAAAAAATATTAATTTTTTATTAAATTATTTCAATTACTTAAAAAGAGTAAATTTGAAAAATCTTAAATATTAATTTTTTATTTAATAATTTTTAATTTTTAACCAGTCTCTTAATAACATATATTTGCAAAACCCGGGATAAAAAACACAAAGATGACATGACTCTACTTTTGTCATTATAAAATTATATTGTTATTAATTTAACAATATGTTGAAGAACATTAAAGACCAAGTAAGTTGACTTTTTTTTTTTTAAGGTATAAAGCTTAATTGAATAACTAACATGAAGTCCTCCGTGACATTAATTAGCTAGGGGAAGGAATATTGACGATGTTTTGGTAATGAAATGAATGAAAATGATTTGGATTAGTGTACTCTCTAACCATAAACGGCCGCAAACGGAGTTCTACAGAAATTTACGTATTGAGTATTTTTTATTTTTAAATAAAAAAAAGTCATTAGATTCGTACATACTTTTAATTAATTAAATCCTAATAATAAAAGATTAATTAAAGTGGTCTTATTTTTCTTATTTGTTTTTCTCCCACTTTCCTTTACTTCCTTCTTTCCCCATGTCTGATACCGCAATCTCTTTCACACACTCTCTCTCTTTCTTCTCTTTCTTTTCTTTCTCCACCGTTCACTACCTTCAGCCATCTTGTACTCTCTCTATCTCTCTATAAAAGCAAACCCACCAAGCCATAAACTGTTCCTACTCTCTAATCAAACACACTTACCTTTTTTTTCTTTCTTTCTTTCTTTTTTCACCCCATGGCTGACCCTTACTACTCTAATTTCTTCTACTCATCATCATCATCATCATCATCATCATCATCAACAACATCATCAAGTTTCTTCCATTTCAATCCCATCATCCATCACCATTTTCCATCATCAAACCCTTCTCCACAACACCAACACCACCACCATCCCTATCTCCATAACTACATCAACCACACCACCAAAAACAACAACACCAGCTTTTTCCACTACCATCACAATACTACTACTACTACTACTACTTGTTCTTCTTCTTCACCACCTTCACCTCCTCTCAGAGAAGAACTCCCCCTCTTGAGTCTCATCCCTGCAAAGCAACAACAACAAGAAGATGAAGAGCAAGAACAAGAGGACCTTTCTTGCACTGCCATGGATGTTCAAGATGACAGCAGGATTAACAACATCTTAAAAGAGGAAGATAATTACGATTATGGCAATGTCACTGTTGCACTCCACATAGGGTTGCCAAGCCCTAGTGCTGCTGAGATTGCATCAGTGTTGTCATCTTCATCAGAGAATATAACTGATAAAGAACATGGTGGTGGTGGTGGTGGTGGTGGTGATGATGATTCTGGGTTCATGCTCAACAACAGACTCAACAAGGGACAGTATTGGATCCCTACACCTTCTCAGATTCTCATTGGTCCTACACAGTTCTCTTGCCCTGTTTGTTGCAAAACATTCAACAGATACAACAACATGCAGGTATATATCTGTATATATATAACACATGCTCAAAAACCCCCTCCTTCTTCTTTTCTTCTATCTCTCTCTCTCTCTCTCTCTCTCACCCAACTTCAAGGTTAAAAAAAAAAAAATTAAAAAAAAAGAAAAGAATTTTCTTTGCTTCTGCTTCCACTTTCTGTCTCTATAACTTTCTTCCTTGATTTGAACCGGTAACGGTTCTCTGATGCTTGGATGGAAAGAGGAAAAGATTGGTTATTAATCTATGCTACTTGTACTCTTCTTTTTCTTTCCTTTCCTCTTCTCCTTGTTTTTATTTTACCCCTTTTTCCAAGGAATATATATATATCATTCTCCACCAGTCATAATTTTATTTGATTTTCCTTCAAATTATCTTAAATTTTCAGTTGAAAATCACCCACCTCCCAAAAAAAAAAAAAGTTTCCTGATTCAGACTGAGACTGGGATGAGTACCTTACAGCCATTACTTTTGGTTGATTAAACTACTCAAACAATGTTCCTTATGCCTTTAGTACATTGAAGTCTGTGCTCCTTATTATATATTTTGGTAGGTGCATAGAACTGAAAATTTTGCAGTGTTTCTTCCAGATCGCTCAGATAATGATATAAATCATGCACCAAACTCGTTTCTCTTTGTGGCCCTTCGGTCTGAATCCAAACATCTTTCAGACCTGAAAAAAGCCCCATACATGGGACATAGCTAGCCTACCTCACCTCCCTCCAATATACCTTCCTTATTAGCCTTCTTCTTTTTCCATTACAGATAAAGATATATTGCAACCAAAGTAGCAAACTCATTTAAATTTTATTAAATTTTCTGTGTATGAAGATAGCACTTTTGTTCTTTAGAAGCAGCTGCTGAGTATATCAGATGCAATTTCATGATTGATAAGTGAATTTAATAATTGCAAAAATAAAATAAAATCCTTCACTCCAAATTAAGTCTTAGCACCTTCATGATTATATGTTAATAAGGGAGCTAGTTTTTTATTTTTTATTTTTTTGCCACCTTAAACTTTCATTATGTGTAGTCCAGATTTTGATTATTTTGCTTGGTTTGCTTTATCATAACTTTTTTTTGCGGTGTTCATAATTTTATTTTATATTTTTGGTAACTTGTTCAGATGCATATGTGGGGGCATGGATCACAGTACAGAAAAGGGCCTGAGTCTCTTAGGGGTACCCAACCAACAGGCATGTTGAGGCTTCCTTGCTATTGCTGTGCCCCAGGGTGCAGGAACAACATTGATCACCCAAGAGCAAAGCCTCTCAAAGATTTTAGAACACTTCAAACACATTACAAGAGGAAGCATGGGATTAAGCCCTTCATGTGCAGAAAATGTAGCAAGGCTTTTGCTGTGAGGGGAGATTGGAGAACTCATGAAAAGAATTGTGGGAAGCTTTGGTATTGTATCTGTGGATCTGATTTCAAGCACAAGAGGTCTCTTAAAGATCATATCAAAGCTTTTGGGAGTGGCCATGCAGCTTATGGGATTGATGGCTTTGAAGAAGAAGATGAGCCAGCTTCTGAAGTTGAGCAAGATAATGATTCCACCCAGTAATCACAAAGGGATTTTTGGGACTGGCATGGGTTTATATTTATATATATATTATATGTGAATTATCTTAATTATTTTGTTAGGTGAGATTGGGGATGAATATATGGCAATTGGCTTCCATTTTCAAAACTATATATAAGCACCAAGGTTCAATGGAAAGCCAACCTTTTCCTTCTTTCCTTTCTTTCCTTCTGTTGGAATATTAGCTAGGATTGAGACTGGACACAAAACACATAGCTGGTAAAGCTAGATATTTATATCCAACTTCGTTGAATTTGTTCTCTCATGTATTAGACATTCCCTTCTTTTATATATATTAAGCAGCTTAAGACATTGCAGATGAAATAGTGTTAATTATTCTTAATTAATTTCTAACTTAATTTGGCAAAAGCAGAAACTCAAGCTAATTCAAATGATAAAGTAGCTCTAATTCTATTTAAATTTATTTATTCCATATAAATATAAAGCTAGATTCACTTTATATTTACATATAATTTAAGAAAATATGTAACCATGCTTTAAATTTCTATGCTTGTATCTCAGTACATGCTTGTATTATTTTGTAGGTATGCAATATATGTGCACTCTTGTACTCCAAGTTTTTGTATCAATTTATAATCATTATGCATCTATGGAACTATTCTGGGCATTACAAAAATGTGCATGTATATAGCTTTATCCTATTTTCCAACAGGAAAAGTGGTCAAGATGAAGAAAAAGCTTTTTCTTTTTTTCTTTTTTTCTTCTGTCTCTAAAATCCAGAACTATATAGGCCTCTTCAAACTTTGAGGGATAGTGATTGCATGTGCATGAACAAATACCTGTTGGTCATTTCATAGATTTTTTTTTTTTTTTTTTTTGCATTGATATGTTGCTTTCTTCTGTCAAGATTGTTGGAATTAATGAATGAATTAATGTACAATGATCCATTGGTTATGAATAAGAAGTGGGTTAATAAAGAAAAGAGAAAAAGGGAAGATGAAGAGGTGTGTGGGTTTCAACAAGTCCCACATTGGACAATTAGTAGGAAATGGGAGAGTATATAAGCTCCCACTTCCCTCTCTTAGATTGGCCCTTGGGTCACTACATGTTTTATGTAGGGGGGAGAGCTAGGTGAGCATTGGTTCATCGCGCGCGCCGCCGCCGCCGTCCGGCCGGTTCGGATCGGTTCATAGTGTGTAATAAAAAAATAATTTATTTTACCGTTGCTTCCCTCCAACCAAAAACGTTTCTACCCGCCGGTTTTTTGAGCAGTATTGAACCGAACCGGTTCTTTCCCTTCGTGAACCGGTCGTATCTGTTCGTCGGAACAGTCACCCGTTCGCCGCCATCAGACACGGCGGTTCGCCGCCGGCGACTGTTCATCGTGACCGGTCAGTGTCTATAAATAGACACTGACACCTTCAGAAATCTATCCAGTTTTTCCTGCACTTAAACTCTGCCGGAATTTTTCTTCTTCCGGTTTTGCATACTGTTGTTCATCCTCCGGTGTGACTTCCTCTGGCATTTTGTTGTGTTCGTTTGGGCTGTTGATTGGTAGTGCCACCATTCTTCAGACGAAATCCGTTCTATCCTGGGAGACAAGTGTCCATCAACCTTAGGCATCAGTGAGGGGGCAAATTGTCTTAAGGAGACACGTTCTGTGGGCTCGGATTTAATTCCTCTTATACTGCATATATTCATCCTTTCATTCTGTCTGTTTCATCATTCTGCCACTGACAAGTAAGTCTGTTTTTAATATTTTTAATTACACAGTGATAATCCTGATCATCTACCTCCTCTGCTTTATACATGGGTTCAAATCTATTAGTGATATAATATCACCCACTGTCTTCAATAACAAAGATCGTTATGGTTAACAATTTGTCAAAATTTTCAACATGAGTGTATGACTAAAGGGTGATAAAGGGTTTTAAGCTCTATTTAATTTAGCACAAGTCACGTACACATGAAAGGAAGAGATGGTGGAGAGTAGTATATTATGGTTAATTGTAGGTCATTAAAGGGATAGGCTTTTCAATCTGTGAAACTGAGAAATACGTCAGCTTTTTGTTGGAAGGGTGTGTGTGTATATGATCATATTATGCCCTTTTGCTTTGGATAGTGGGAGAAGATGTGTTTGTTGATAGATGGAACATATACCGTTTCAGATTCACCCTTGCTTGGAAAATTCAAAGCAAATGATTAGCTTTTTAAGAGTGAAATATATATATATACATATTATATATAAAAAAGGAGGAGGATATCAAAAGATATATAGGTAGGATCGGTGATATCATATATGGTCCCATTCTCAAGTTTACAAGGTATGAGGAGGGTACTTCAATTCAATGAAGTGGATCTCATTTGCATTAGCTTGGGGTAGGTAGAGAGAGAAAGTAAGGATATGGGCAAAAAGGTTAGCTAGAGCTGAAAACTGTAAGATTGTGGAGCCCAACTTGTGCTGATTGGCAACACATACTGATGCCCCCTACACTGCATACACACACACCACTCTTCCTTCTGATGGATCATAAACTGTACACTGAAACGACCTTTCAGCAAAAAAAAATTTTGACCACCTCTCTCTCTTTCTCTTTCTCTGCCGTAATTGAGGTGCAGCCTTCAACCCTTATGGTATGATGTTACAGGAAAAAAAACGAAGTGAAAAAGAAATCAAACATCTTCCTCCACGGTTACTGCTTAGTTTTATTAGCTACCTAATTAGCTTATGTCTTCATAACAATTGCCTTTTGTGTGAAATCATGGCCTACCTTCTCAAAATTATGTGTATCATTATTTATTACAATAGATTAATTAATGTTTATATATATATATTTTATGAGAATAACAAATATATTAGACTAAATAAATTTTTTTTAGATATTATCTATCGATTCATCGACTAATTCGATTCGAGCTGGGTAGGACCATACTTCCTATCAAATTTTAACACAGTTATGTTTTCAGAGACTTGAACTTACCAGTTAATTTATGTGCTTGATGGTCTAAATATTTTTTTTAAGAGTGAATTAATGTGCATACAATGTCTTGTATATATATGGTGAAAGAATCATTTATCAAAACTAACTCACTTCCAATGTTTGTTGAGGGGCATGTGGGGTTACTAATTCCTTTGTGACTGTGAGGAATGGTAGCAATAGATGAACTCAACAGCAAACTGTAACTAAAGCATTTATTGACAATCAATATCCCACCCCTTTGTTGTGGAGACCAACCCTACCACTATATTGACCTCTTGGGACTCTCCTAGTTCTCTCTCTCTCTCTCTCTGAGTGTTGTTTGTGTCTCTCACCATCCTCTCTTCTTCTTTTTTCTTCTTTTTGTGTGTGTGTGTGTGTGGCATTTGTGCTTTTATGGGAAGTCTCTATCCTAAAACCACACATACCCCCAATATGCCCTGCAGTGTGATTACGCACAAGGTTACATACGTGCGATCGACAATAATCATGACTTCAATTTATTTTAGAAAAGAAACGTAGAATAATTAGAGGTTAACACTGAAAAAAGGGGCGTATAATTAAAAAGATAACAAGTACGTAAGTATAAATCTATGCATGTTGTTTACCAAAAAAAAATCTATGCATGTTCATGCGATCATTTAACTCTTGACCTTAATTAATTGAAATGCCACTATATGTCTATATATAGGTTGTAATCCCAAGATTCTTCTCTTTGTTAATTACATTTCTTCTACCAATGAAATATTAAAATTAAATAATTGATTCAATATGAACAGGGTTGGCAGCTAGTTTTGCAGCTCCATGATATATCGTGCCATGGCCATGTAAAGGAGACCAAACAACCCAACACACAAGAATATGTTATATGAGGTATTCTCCTTTTGCATTCATATTCCAATACAGTAGGGACATCTTTGTCTCCCATGGCTCGAATAACTAGCTTTTTATTTTTTAATATATATATATATATATATATATATAGGAGAGATCATTTGACTCCAGAATAAGATTTATAAGTCTTACTCCTCATCCTAGCCATTGATTTCTGTACATCTAACGGTTATAATTTAAGAAATTATATTAATTAATTATTAATTACTCTATAAATGACAACCTTTGATTTTCGTCCATCAACGGTGGAGATGGGGAGTAAGACTTAAAAGTCTTACTATGGAGTCAAAAGAACACTCTCCATATATATATATATATATATATATATATATATATATATATATATATAAAATATAGGAGCGATTAATTTATATTCATCTGAGTCAAAATTACTCTTATATATTTGAATAATTTTACTTTTCATTATTTTATCATAAAATCTAGTTTTAAATTAAAATTTCCTATCATATAGCTAGGTCATCCTATCTAAAAAAAATATATTATTTTAAAATTGTTTAATAATTCATTGATAAATGTTAAAATTAGCATAGTATATATTTTCAAGTTGTATATAGAAAGAAGAACCACTTGAATATTATATTCTCATTTTTATTAAAGTTTTACAATGTTCACTACGGAAATTTTAGGTAATGGATAATTATAATGTATTAACTTGATCGATAAAAATTATATTTTACATAAAGTTTTTAGGTTATGTAAGAATGTCAAATCATATATTAATATGAATTGATCCTAAAAAAAATAAATTCGAAGAATTTGAGTTTTATTAATGAACATTATTTTGAGGAGTGTGAATGATTGAATGGAGTCCCACATTGGTTGAAAAATGTATAAGTGCGCCTTTTCAAAAAAGAGAGGACTAAGTGAGTAACATATAAGTAAAAGGATCCATACACTTAATGCCTTAAGTTTTTGGATTGATCGTGGTATTCCAAGCCCACTTAATGTTGTTGCTCACTTTGGTCCATGGTTGGCGGTGTCCCCCCGCCACGAGCTCTCCCTACAGACCTAACATGTGGTATTAGAGCCAATGGTGGGATTGGCCGACCTGTGGTGATCAGGGGAAAGATGTGGGCCTAAGACTCACACTGGAGGGTGAGATGTTGAGGAATCCAAGTGTGAATGATTCAATGTAGTCCTACATTGGTTGAAAAAGGACTAAGTGAGCACCATATAAGTGGAAGGACCCATGCACCTAACGTCTTAAGGCTTTAGATTTGATTGTGGTGTTCCAAACTCACTTAATGTTGTTGGTCACTTAGTCCATGGTTGGCGGTGTCCCCCAGCCAGGAGCTCTCCATGCAGGCCCAACATGTGG